GGAGCAGACAGAAGGAGGGCTCATTGGAGAAGCCGAAGGTAGGAGAAGGAAGGAAGGTGGAGGTAGGAGAGAGGACCGGGTAGGAGAGAGGGCCAGGGTGGGCACAGGGGTGCTGCTCTTGGGAGTGAGGGGTTCCTCTTCTCTGCCCGCCCCCAGCTCAGCTGAGTTCTCAGGGCTGCCCGGGAGAGCAGCTGGTGCCCCGCCTTACCACCACCAGTGTTCTGAGGTGGTACCACCTCAGCACGGAGTTGAGCATGACCTCTGAGGGCAGCTGCATCGTCTCCCCGGAGTCCTTCCCCTGAGCCTCCACGCCGCCACTCAGCCCTTCCACGGCTGCCAGCAGCAGGTCCTTCACCTGCTGGGGGCCCAAGAAGTCTCCAAAAATCTGGAACACAGACAGACACGGAGGTCTCCACGTGGATGGGCAGTCCTGGGCCACACACGGGACACGGCCACAGCCACAGCCGTGGGTAGGAGCCAGGGGGGAGGGCCACACACACGCCCTCATCCATGAACATTGAGTCCCCGAGGGAGGAGCCACAAGACGAGGGGCAGCAAGGTCCCTGTACCCAGGACTGGGAGGCACGCATCACGGAGAAGGGAGGCCTGGCCCACGGGCTGTACACAGGAGGCAGCGGCTGCGGACAGCTCCTGTGGGGAGGGAAGGCCTCTCCCAAAGGGCGGGGCCAGTCGGAGAGCTGGTGGGGGAGCAGGGGGCTGGTGGCGCTGCCCCGCCTCCCTCCCCGCCCAGGGAGGCCAGCTGCTGAGCGGCAGCTGTCCCTGCGGTCACCAAAATCACACGCAAGATGTTCTGGCGTGGGTTGACAGGGTTGTGGGGCCCCAGGAAGCGCTTGTTGCTCTCATACAGCTCCTTCTTGTTGGTCTCTTCCTTATCTCTGGCTCCTGCAAGAGAAGAGCCTTCTGGTGAGGCGTTACCAGCCTGCTGCTTTGAATTCTTTTGAGCGAAAAGGCAGGAAGTCCCCGATTCCTACAAAAGCAGCTGGATTGAT